AAAAAAAAAAAAAAAGAAAAGAAGTCCAGTTGCCATGACTCAACCTCCAGACATGGTATTAATATATTGGATGTCTTATTTTCAACTTCTTTCATAATAATTCCAAGAATGAAACCTGCCTTTTTAAAAACAGCAACACTTTGAATTACATTTTCATCAAGCTGTCCATTGTGACTCCAAGATCCCTTTCCAGGTCAGTTACTAATTAACATAGAAGTTTGGGATTTTTTTGTGCCAATGTACATAATTTACATTGAATTTCATTTGCAATTTTGAGGCCCATTCATCCAGTTTGGAGAGATCCTTTTGGTGCTCTTATCATTCCTTTTTTGATTACATTACGCTGAACAGTTTGATTTCATCAGCCAACTTTGCCTCCTTACTGCTCACTGCTAATTACAGGTAATTTATGAACAAATAAAGAAATTATGGTCCACAACACCTTTGATTCTTTCTCTAATTTGAAAACTTTCTATTTCTAGTTCTGTATCTTGTCACTAATATCTGAGATTTCCTATCATTTTCCATGGCTTTTGATTTGCTGAAGAGCCTTTGGTAAGGATTTTGTCAAAGGCTTTAAGAAAATCCAAATATAAAGTACTGTGTCTGCTGGATCACCCCTTATGGACATCATTAAAAAAGTCTTCATAGTATGTGTGATAATGCCCTTTTTGGTCCCTAGAACCAGCTCCATCCACATTTACCAAAAATTGGTGGAAGATTTTCCATGATGCATGTGAGTTATTCAAAAAGAATAATATAAGCCTTAAAACAGGCTTAACAGTTTTTTTTGAAAAAAGAAACAAAGAAACAAAGACAACCCTCCCCCCCCTTTATCCACCCTAAAGCACTAAAAATAGAACATCCTGTTTCCACACCCATATTTGCATCATTGCTCTGCCTTGAAAAGTGCAGTTCCCAACTGTCATGATCCAGTTTGGCTGGAGAACTCTTCTGTACTAATCCCCTTGCTAATTCTGAATATTACTATAAAACACCCAAGCCAATTTTTAATTTTTGTAAAAATCTTTCTTCTTCCTCACATTCAAACTATTAGCCAAAAAGCCAAAACTATTTTGCACGGGTGTGGAAAAAACTATTTTTTTTAAAGGATGTAAATTTAAAATAAGTATGTTTGCTCTGATTATTTCATGTCATCCTTTGTCCTGATGTTACTGCAGTATTGAAGAGTGTAGAAGAAAAGGTTTGCCCGCTGTCCCAAATGGGAAGAACTTCAGAGATGTTTCTCCAAGGTCTTTTCTTCTATTTTATTCTTTGCATTTAAAATGTGAGCTACCCAGAATTGTATGGAGTTGGATGGCGTCTAAGTTTAATAAAGCAAACAAACAATAAATGAAAGGATTAGAGGGTGTCTGGATTAAGGCTTCAGTGTGGTTGGAGAGGGTTGTTGAATCTTCTCTCATTTCATGCTGGGAGTGAGCCTGCTCGGTTCAGAATGGCATATGAGATTCTCCCTGCTGCTTTGGGCGAAGATAGTGTGTGGAAGCTGTCCTTGAGTTCCAAGTAATCCAAAC